TCCCTTGGACACAGCTTTCTAGTCACGTAAATGCCCATCCACCATAATCCTTTGCTTCCAGTTTCTGAGCTAATGTAAAATTCAATTTGCTGCTTGCACTTGGATTACATGGGCTCTTACTTTTCTGATCAGTCTGCTGTGTGGGATCTTGTCAAAAGCCTTGTTAAAAATACTGCACACTACATCAAATGTACTGCCCTTCTCGATCCTCCATTTTATTTAGTTCATGAATCTTGAAGATCCTCTGACAGATCTACATTGATTAATCTGTTCCCTTCATAGAATCATAGTATCCCTACAGCGTGGAAACAGACCCTTCGGCCCAACAAGTCCACACTGAACCTCAGAGCATCCCACCCAGACCCATTCCCCTATAACTCACCTAATCTGCACATCCCTGAACACTACAGGCAATTTAGCATGGCAATCCGCCTAGCCTGCACATCTTTGGACTGTGGGAGGAAACCGGATCACCCGGGAGGAAACCCACGCAGACACGGGGATTGTGTGCAAACTCCACACAGACAGTCACTGGAGACTGGAATCAAACCCGGGTCCCTGGCGCTGTGAGGCAGCAGTGCTAACCACTGTGCCACCGTGCTGCCCTTCTCAATGGCAATTTGCACTGACACTCAGAACATTTTTCAATAATTTACCCACTTTCAAGGTGACCATCCTGTAAATTACTCAGCCCATCCCTTCATTCTGCTTTAAAAAACAGGACAAGGTTAGCAGTTCTCCAGCAAGATGTAATTGCGCTTCAATAATTTCCCTTAAGAAGGTGGAGGCAGGTGCTTCCTGATCCTTGGTGAAGTTTTTACTGTTGTGCCAGAGTCAAATGAGTCATCTGCAATTGTTCTTAGTTCCCATCTATCTCTCAACCTCTGTATTCATGGTTTTCTAATTGTGAACAGTTTGCAATTTCCTCTCCCTGCAGCCTGGCCATTCAACTTTGCAAATAATTGCTTGCTCAACAACCCTATTGTAATAGACGAGTTTCTTGGAAACCTAGATAAAAGTGAAACTATATGAACAAAGTACGAATGCTCGAGCTGCTCTGTTATTCATTAAGATCATGGTCAATTTGATTTTAATCTCAAATCTACATTCTTGCATATCCCTTGGGAATGAAGAATCCATTCATTTGCTTTAAAAATATTTAAATTTTCTGCATCCTCTGCCCTTTGAGGAAGGGATTTCCAAAGACTTGGAGAAAAAAAATGCTCCCTCAGCTCTCTTATTTTAAAAATATGAACCCCAGTCTGAATTCTCCCACAAGAAGAAACATCCTTTCCACATTCACCTGGTCAAGCGCCCTCAGGATCTTAAAAGTTTTAATTAACTCAATTCTGACTCTTCAAAACTCCAGAGGATACAAACCTAGCCCGTCTAGCATTTTGTTGCAAGGCAATCCACGCAGTCTAGGTATTAGTCTAGTAAACCATCTCTGATCTGCTTCCAAAGCATTACCATCCTTCCATAAGTACAGTGGCCAGTGCTTACACAGTAATCCAGATGTGGCTGCACTAATGCTGTGTATAACTACTCTTGCATTCAATTCTCCTCACAATAAACCATAACGTTCTGTTAGCTTTTCTGATTACTTGCTGTACCTGCACACTAACCTTCTGTGGTTTGTGCGCTAGGACCCCCAGATCTCTCTGTATCTCAGAACTCTGCAATCTCTCACGATTTGGATAATTGTTATTTTTTCTGCCAAAATAGACAACTTCACACTTTCTCATGTTGTTGTATACTACCAGATCTTTGCCTATCACTCAACCTATCTAAATCCCTTTGTAGCCTCCTTATGTCCCCTCCATAACTGACTATAATGATTTGGGAAGCTCCATCAACACTGGATTTCTCTTGACTGTTTATTGTTCAAAATAAAGCAGTCAGTTGGTGACGAAACACCTACCACTAAAACGTGAAGCCATCGCTGGGTCAAAATCTCAGAATTCTCTCCCTAATAGTATTGTGAGTCTACCTACAGCACATGGACCGTAGCAGTTCAAGGAACCAGCTTACCATCACATTCTCAAGGATAACAAGGGGCAGGTGATAAATTCCAGCTGAACTGAAAGATATTCTGGTCCGAAGGGACTGTGTCGTACTAGATGGTTTGAACCAATTCTAAGTTGCAAGAATGGTTCAATTTCCAATTATGCTCTTGTGTACTTTTAGGTCTGGTGTTAGCTCTCACAAGGAACTGTCATGGAACTCTGATGTTATGTAACTAGCTATTAAGTACTACTTAATCAACACACTCTGTTCAGCAACACTGCACCTTGTCGCCTGTCAAAGAGTTGGTCTGGCACACACTTGACCACTTGCCGCAATAAAACTTAAACTAATATCAAATAAGAAGGATTGGTGGCAGTGAATCTATCCAAGGCACCTCAGAGAGGACTGGTAGACAGAACCATAACATACAACATGTTGCACAGAGGTGCACACAGTGGGCAGAATCTTCCCAACCCTGAATGACATGGGCCATGGTGAGAAAGAATGCAAAATCACATGAGATGTCCAGCTTCTCTACATTGAGAGCAAAGAAGTCCCATTTCCCAACCAACTGTTGAACAGGGAAGCAAGATTCTCATTAGTGAGTGGCAAGATGCCCGATTGCATGCATTAATGTCTCATGGTTAGTTATTAATCTGATAAGCAGGTTCTTATTCTCCCACCCACCGGAGAGAAACTAGAACATGACAATTCCCGACATGAAAGTCAGAGAGGGTGCCTGCCAACTCCTGTTTGTTGATTGCTTTTCCGGACCTCCAACTTGGATACTAGGCATCAACATCTCAAGGCATGGTGCACGGCATGCTGGGATGGGAGCCTATCTCCTGGATGGGGCCAGTGTACATTGCTCGCTCTGTCACAGTACTTCTATCTTGACTTGGCTTTTAGTGCAAACATAAGCCAAAAACCTTGTCATGGTTATTAGCAGATATTAGACCAGGGGGCGGACATGTTGCTGTATAGTCAAGCTCATGTTCACACCATTTACTATCAGTTTCTGCAGAGAACACACTGTATATGCATCAACTAAGCACCAACCTCTCAAAGTTGAAGTTGAGTAGCCCTTGGCCAAGTTAAGATATATTAATGACTTGGATGAGGGAATTGAATGTGCTATTACCAATTTTGCACATGACATGAAAATGAGTTGGAAGGCAAATGGTGAGGATAACACAAAGACTTTGCAAAGGGTTATAGTCAAGTTACGTGAGTGGGTAAAGTATTGGCAGATGGAACATAACGAGGGATTTTCTCATGAGGACAGATTGAGTAGATTGGGCCTATACTCATTGGAGTGTAAAAGAATGAGAGGTGACGTTGCTTAAATATTTAAGATTTTTATGCCTCCTAATGACAGTATAGATGCTGAGAAGTTGTTTCCCTGGCCAAAAAGAAGGAGAGAGCAGAAGGCATAATCTCAAAGTAAGCGCTGCCCTAGAGATTAGGAGGAATTCCTTCTCTTAGAGAGTTATTAGTCTGTGGAATTCTTTACTGCAGAGGATAGAAGTTGGGTTGTGAAGAATATTCAAAGCTGAGAGAGATTTTTAACCAGGAGGGAATCAAGGGATTGTGGGGAAAAGGTAGAAAAAGTGTAGTTGAGGATTTTCAGATCAACCATGAGCTTAATGAATGGCAGAGCAAATTGGATGGGCCAAATGGCCTACTGCTGTTCTTAAATCATGTGGTCTTATATCGACAAGCCTTTGGGCAACTTTATGTTTAGGCTGATGAGTGACAAATAAAAGCTGCCACCACAAGCAACTCTGACAAGAAAGTGTCCAATATTTTCCTTTAACATCTGATGGTATTAACATCATCAAATCTCTGATATCAACATCATGGGCCATCACTGTTGGCCAGCAACTCAAATAGACCAATCATTTAAATATTGTGGCTACCTTTGCAGATCTGAGGCTGGTGGTTCTGTGGTGAATTATTCAACTCTATATTCAGCAAAGTCTTTTCATTTCTAAGGCACAAAGCAGGAATGTGATGAAACCCTCTCCAGTTGTCTGAATGATGGTACCATAGAATCCCTACAGTGCGGAAACAGGCCGTTCAGCCCAACAAATCCACACCGACCCTCTGAATAGCATCCCACCCAGACTCACCTCCCTATCCTATCCCTGTAACCTGCATTTCCCATGGCTAATCCACCTAACCTACACATCCCTGAACACTATTGACAATTTAGCTTGGCCAATCCACCTAACCTGCATATCTTTGGGCTGGGGAGGAAACCAGAGCACCTGGAGGAAACCCACGCAGTCATGGGGAGAATGGGCAAACTCCACACAGACAGTCACCCAAGGGTGGGATCGAACCCAGGTCCCTAACGATGTGAGGCAGTAATGCTAACCACAGAGCCACTGTGCCATGGGGACATGTATTTACAAACGCCTGCTGAAGACTTCCATGTTATGCCAGAGTCTCATGGAACTTATCTGGAATCTGGAATAAGTTATTTTTCTTTGGTTTTTTCATTTTTCTTTTTTTTTTCACTCCCCCCTTTTACCTGCACCCTTTCTCTCTTCTGTTATGACCTCTAATCTCTCAAATTCATTATTCAAATAATTATTTATTCACAAATGAGCTCAAACTGCAAGAAATAGATCGATTTCATTCCTTCTGCAGTTTATACATCACCCTCTGTGCTGTGCTACCAGCTATTTTGCAGAAAGGGATGATATCTGGGAGGCAGGACTACAAAATGATCTCTGTTTGCTAGTTTACAAACAGAAATATCTTAGAGGTATACAGCCGACCAACTTATATCTCAATGAACAAAGATGAGAAACATTTCAAACGGGAAACTCCCTCATTTCTGATTGAGTAATAACTTCTAACCGTTTGGATAGGACTTGAGAATCGCTGACAAATTTTTGATGAAACCTATTGTTGTGCACTCATTAGGACAATTCATTGGACATGTCAATTTAAGCAGAAAATCAATATTTAGGAGAAGCACTCACCTTTGTGATAGTTGTGCAGTAAAGCTGAACCTACAGAGTTTAATGCAGTACTTACTTTTTCCTTGTTGAATGCAGAGACTGGAACCACCGTGTGAAATAAATGGAGATGAAACTGAAACTATGAGGTTGTTGACTTGCTCGCAGGGCTGGCTTGTTCTTGTTCAGATGTTTTGTCACCAAGCTAGGTGGCATCATCAGTGGAGCCTCAATCAACACACAACCCGTGCTACAGATCTTTACCAAAACTTTAAACTGAAACTATTTTGTTAAAACAGGAAAGGGATTACAATAGCAGCAATTTATGCCATAGGCTCCTCAGTTACTGAAGTATTTGATCCAATCAGTAGGCGGCAGAGACATCGCTGAGAGGAATTCTGGGAGATGGCATTGTAGTCACTGTGAGATAGTAAGAACTGCCGATGCTGGAGACTGAGGTAACACACTGTGGAGCTGGAGGAACACAGCAGGCCAGGCAGCATCAGAGGAGCAGGAAAGCTGATGTTTCGTGTTGGGACCGTTCTTCAGAAATTAGGGAGGGCAAGGGGGCTCTGAAATAAATAGAGAGGGTGGGGGGGGTCAGACTGGGGATGGTAGTGGTATTTGCTGTAGACACTGTGTCTGGGAGAGGATTGTGAAAGGACACCCTCGCTGACAAAAGTGACGAAGAGCATCCAATCAGAAGGCGGCAGAGACATCACTGAAAGGAATTCTGGGAGAAGGCTCTGGGAGACTAACATCACCTGGGCCTGGAGAACCATCCACGCGGTGAAAGATGCTCTTTGGTCTGCCCGAAACTTGCCGGTCTTCCAGTTGAAAGAGTTGACACCGATTGAGTGCTGCAGACTGGCACACTCCAGGACTACATGCTGAAGGACGCACTAAAGCTTGGGGCAGCTGCCGCCAAGGAGCAGTGGGAAAATACCACTGTGTAAGGTCCTCTTGCCAAAGCAAAGCAGGGGGTCCATTCAGTAGCCGGATCCTTCTGATGTCTCAGCTGGATGCCAAAAATATAGAGAAAGATGCACGCCAATGTTTATTTTATTCTCTGTAAGTAATGACAGTATAGATCAGAATGGCTATGCTAACTGCGTATATACATAAAGATTTCCTTCTGTGAATAAAGTATATTTTTCCAATAAAAAATATTCTGGAAGATGGCACTGCAGTCACCGTGACCAGCCTGAATGTCTCGGGGGAACTGATGTCAAGGAGTGGTTAAACTTTGAAACACTACTCAGTGTGTTCCCCACTTCCACCTCCTCTAACCAAAAAGACAAACACCGTATCGTGTTGAGGCAAGGTAAGCTTCTTAGTTTTTTTGTAAAGTGTAAAAGGCCAGTTAAGGCAGTGATATGCTCCTCCTGTCAGATGTGGGAAATCAGGGAGCAATCTAGTGTCGCTGATGACTAGATCTGCAGGAAGTGTGGCACGCTGCAGCTCCTCACAGACTGCGTTGGGGAAGCAGCTGGACACACTGCGGTACATTCAAGGGGCAGAGAAAGTGATAGACACTGGATTTAGGGAGGTGGTCACACCACAGTTCCAGGCAGATAGGTGGGTTACTGCCAGGAGAGGCAGGCAGGTAGTTCAGGAGTCTCCTGTGGCAATTCCCCTTTCAAACAGGTATTACATTTTGGATAATTTTGGGGGGGATGGCCTCTCAGGAGTTAGTACTAGCAGTAGTCAGACCTGTGGCACCACAACTTGTTCTGCTGTAGAGCAAGGTTGGGCAAAGTCTAGGTGAGCAATAGTAGTAGGCGACTCAACAGTCAGGGGCACAGGCAGGCGTTTCTGTGGCCGTGAACGAGACTCTAGAATGGTGCGTTGCCTCCCTGGTTCCAGGGTCCTTGATGTCTCTGAGCGGGTACAAGACATCCTGAGGCAGGAGGAAAAAGAGCCAGAAGTCATTGTCCACATTGGTACATATGTCATTGGTAGGAAGAAGGAAGAGGTCCTGCAAAGACAGTTCAGGGATTTAGGTAGGGACCTAAAACGCAGGACTACCAGCGTAAATATCTCAGGATTACTACCCGTACCATGGGCTAGTGAGGCTAGGAACAGAGAGAGAGTGCAGTTGAATACGTAGCTACAGAGCTGGTGTAGGAGGGTGGGCTTTAGATGTATGGATCATCGGAATGTCTTCTGGGGAAGGTGGGACCAGTACAGGAAGGACAGGTTGCACCTGAACTGGAGGGTCACCAATATCCTGGGAGGGGAGTTTGCTAGAGTTCTTCAGGAGGGTTTAACCACGTGTGGCTAGGGCCGGGGCGTGGGGGGTGTGGGGGCGTGGGGGCATGGGTGAGAACTGGGTGAGGCCAGTAAGTGCAGGACCGGGGACAAAAGTGTGACAGAGATAAGCATAACACAGAGTAAGAGCAGGCACAGGGAAATCATGGGGCTCAGAGGGACTGGAGGACTGGAATGCATTTACTTCAATGCAAGAAGTATAGCAGGTAAGTCAGGTGAACAAACAGCATGGATTACTGCTTGGAATTAGGATGTTATTGCCATTACAGAGACATGGTTAAAGGAGGGACAGGACTGGCAGCTTAACATTCCTGGGTATCACTGTTTTAGATGGGACAGAAAGGGAAACAAAACATAGAACATAGAACATAGAACAGTACAACACAGTACAGGCCCTTCGGCCCATGATGTTGTGCCAGACTTTTACCCTAAACCTAAGGTCTATCTAACCGCCACCCCTACCTTATACTATCATCCATATGCCTATCTAATAGCCACTTAAATGCCCCTAATGAGGCTGACTCCACTACCCTCTCCGGCAATACATTCCACGCCCCTACCACTCTCTGAGTAAAGACCCTACCTCTGACATCTCCCCTATATCTACCTCCACTCACTTTAAAACTATGCCCCCTCGTAATAGCTACCTCCACCCTAGGAAAAAGTCTCTGGCTATCCACTCTATCTATACCTCTGATCATTTTGTACACTTCTATCAAGTCAACTCTCATCCTTCGTCGTTCTAAAGAGAAAAGCCGTAGCTCTCTCAACCTTTCCTTGTAAGACCTTCCCTCCATTCCAGGCAATATCCTGGTAAATCTCCTCTGCACCTTTTCCAACGCTTCCACATCTTTCCTGTAATGAGCCGGCCAGAACTGGACACAATACTCCAGATGTGGCCGAACCAGGGTTTTGTATAGCTAGAGCATAACTTCACGGCTCTTGAACTCAATCCCTCTATTAAAGAAAGCTAATACACCATACGCCTTCTTAACAACTCTATCCACCTGGGTGGCAGCTTTCAGGGAACTGTGGACATGAACCCCGCGATCCCTCTGCTCCTCCACACCGCCAAGAATCTTTCCGTTAACCCCGTATTCTGCTTTCAAATTTTTCCTTCCAAAATGAATTGCCTCACACTTTTCAGGGTTAAACTCCATCTGCCACTTCTCAGCCCAGCTCTGCATCCTATCAATATCCCTTTATAACCTAGAACAGCCCTCCGCACTACCCACAACTCGACCCACTTTCGTGGTGGGTGACATCAACTTTCCTGTTATTGACTGGGACTCCCTTAGAGCAAGGGGCTCGGATGGAGAGCAATTTGTTAGTTGTGTCCAGGAGGGCTTTTTGAGGCAGCATGTTGACAATCCAACCAGAGAGGACGCCATATTAGACTTGGTCCTAGGGAATGAGCCAGGACAGGTGATTGAAGTTTCAGTAAGAGAGCATTTCAGGCTTAGTGACCATAACTCCATAAGATTTCAAGTAGTCATGGAAAAGGACACAAGTAGCCCTCGGGTGAGGGTGCTTAATTGGGCAAGAGACAATTACACCCAAATTAGACGAGAACTGGAGAATGTAGATTGGAAGCAGTTATTTGAGGGCAAATCTCCCTCTAGCATATGGGAGACTTTTAAAGACCAATTGACTAAAGTGCTGGACATGCATGTCCTTCCAAACCAAAGGATAGGAATGGCAGGATTCAGGAACAATGGATGACAAGGGAAATTGTAACGTTAGTCAAAAGAAAATGGGAAGCATATGACAAGTCTAGGCAGCTACAAACTTACAAAGCCCTGGAGGAGTGCAGAGAAATTGGGAAGTAACTTAAATGTACAATTAGGAAGGCAAAAAGGGGCCATGAAATGTCTTTAGCAAACAGGGTCAAGGAGAATTCCAAGGCTTTTTAATGCATATGTTAGGAGAAAGAGGATAACAAGGGAAAGAGTAGGCCCACTTGAGCATGAAAGAGGGAAGTTATACGTAGAACCACAGGAAGTGGGGAGATCCTGAATGAGTACTTTGTATCGTTTTCACAAGGTGAAGGACATGACTAATGTTGAGGTCAAGGATGAGTGTGTGAATACTCTAGAGAATGTCAACATATTGAAAGAGGAATCCTAAATTGCATTAACATAGACAAGTCCCCAGGACCAGATGGGATCTACCCGAGGTTGCTCAGAGAGGCAAAGGAGGAAATAGCTGGGGCATTAGCAGATATCTTCACATCCTCGTTGACCACAGGTGAAGTTCCAGAGGACTGGAGATTAGCGAATGTTGTTCCCTTGTTTAAGAAAGGATGCAGGGATAATCCAGGAAACGATAGGCCGGTGAGCTTGAAGTCTGTGGTGGGGAAGCTATTGGAAAAGATACTGAGGGACAAGATATATGCGCATTTGGAGTAAAATGGACTAGTTACTGACAGGAAGCATGGTTTTGTCTGGGGAAGGTCATGTCTCACCAACCTGATTGAATTTTTTGAAGAGGTAGTGAGGATAATTGATGAGGGAAGGGCTGTGGATGTAGTTTATATGGACTTTCGTAAGGCATTTGATAAAGTCCCGCATGGCAGGTTGGTACAAGGATGTCACAAGGGATTTGGGGTGGTCTGGTTAGATGGATAGAAAACTGGCTTGGTCATAGAATACAGGAGGTAGTGGTGGAAAGATGTTTTTCAGAATGGAGACCAGTAACAAGTGGTGTTCCACAGGGATCAGTATTAGGTCCTTTGTTGTTTGTAGTATATATAAATGAACTGGAGGAAAATGTGGGTGGTTTGATCAGCATGTTTGCTGATGACACAAAGATTGGTGGAGTTGCTGATAATTCCAACGATTGTAAAAGTATACAACAGGATATGGATAGATTGGCAATTTGGGCACAGAAATGGCAGATAGAGTTTAATCCAGACAAATGCGAGGTGATGCATTTTGGAGGATCAAATTTAGGTGTGAATTATATTGTAAATGGCAGAACCCTTAGCAACACTAACATTGAGACAGATCTGGGCATGCAGGTCCACAGTTCCCTGAAAGTGGCAAGGACATGATGGT